ATTAATTAATTTTATTATTATTTTATGAAAATATTTAATATTTTACTTATATGCTATTATTAGAATAATACGATCAATATTTATTATTTTCTAGTAATTTGTAGATTCAGCAGCTGTAATTAATTTTTTATATTTGGCTACAATAGTTAGAATTCTAAACATAATAGACAAAATAATTTTCAGTTTGTCAGCATTTTTTTCACTTACTATAGGTTTCATAGAATTATGATTTTTTTTTATTTATGCTGTTTTTTAATAAATATTTGCATATTTTTAAAAATCATTTGCAAATTTAATTAGAGATAATTTTAAAAAGGCAAAGTATAAATACTCAATTTAAAACATTTAAGATAAGCAATCAGATTTTTACTATAGAAATTTAGTTTATTATAAGTAAATGAAAAGCGTTCTTTTTTATTTTTTATTAGATCAAACTGATCAATAAACTGAGAAATTTCTGCTGATATTATATATTTATCATTAAATGTTTTACTTTTATATTTATCAATATATCATAAAGTATCTGATAACTTTCTGATAAATTTTTTCCTATAAATATAGCATCAAAAGTTCATTCACCTTTATGAGAAGAAATATAAGAAAAAATATCTAATTTTAACTTGTTATTCATTTTAGGATTTTGTAAAAAAGTAAAAGCAGGTAGATGTCATTTTTTTTCAAAATATCAAATGCATTAGCTAGTTGAAATTTGTTTTTATCTGAAAAGATTTTTATATAGAATGTGAAAAAATTACCAAAAACACTAATTATATTACTAATTGCATATTCTAGTTCAACTTTATCTCCAGTTTTTTTTTTTTTGTTCTTAAACAACATATTTCTATCTTTTCTAATATTTTTTCTTTTAATCATAAAATATATTAATCAACTATATGTTCAAATAAGCTTTGAATAATTAAATTTTCTTTAACATTGATTATTTTTTATAAAAATAAAGTGACTTAGCCATTTAATATTCTTGTTTTAACAACAGTTATTTTTTATTTAGAATAAGAAGATGTAAAAATACTTGATCATAATATTATTGATCACAATATTAGTGATCATAATATTAATAATCATTCAAAAAATTTCCTTTAATTATATTAACCAATTAAATTTGTAAATTTTTTATAAAATTTTTTGACTAATAAAAAAATTTTTAACCATCAATCTTAAAATACAAAATGATCAGAAAAAGAACCATTTTTTATATTTGTATTGCTTTATAAATTACATTTTATACTTTGTAATAATCATTACATTTTTTAAAAAAGCAATCTAATTTTAGTTTAATAACCTTGATGTATTACAAATTAATTTCTTTAAACCAAAAATAATTATATAAAATAATTTAATTTAAATCACTAATTACATAATTTATCAATTTAATTTAACAAATGCTCAAAGTATATTTATTTCTTTAATTAATTATTTAAATATAAATATTAACCAAGAAAATTTTCTCTAAATTTAATATTATAATAATATAAAATTTTACTACAAATTACTAGTAATAGAATTTAAATCTTATTTAAATTCTAATAATTATCTATTAGACTTTAAACCTAATAAAAATGTCTAATTTAATTTTAATTTAAAATAATATAAAATCATTTAACTTAAATTATTTATAAATATAATCTGAATTTTCAAATAAAAAAAGCTTAAAATTATCTTATCCTGTTAAAAATTAAATTTCTAAATAAAAAACTTGATATTTTTATTGAGAGTTTAGAAAATCTAATAATTTATTAAATTTTATATTAGACTAATAAAAAATTCTAATAAATATCAATAAAAATAATTTAAATAATATAAATTTTATAATTATTATAATTAAAAACTTATATATAATTTATAACTATTAGATGATATTTATAGTCTAATAATCTAAATTTTAATAGAATTAAAATAGATTAAGTTTAATAATCTAATAGTTTAAAATACTTTAAAAGTCTATTATTCTAATATACTAATATTGTATATTATTATTAAAGATGGTCACCGCAATTAAAAAAAATAGCGCAATTGAGTTGTAACTTATGGTGCAATTAAATTTCCTTATGGCGCAATTAAGTTGCAACTCAATTGAAATTTGAAAATAATTATGGGGATCATCTTTAATTATTATTATTTATTTATATAAGTATTTTATAATAAAAAGAAAGGAAACTATTTAAAAATTTTATAATATTTAGCTTAAAAAATAAAATTTTTTTTGATAATTTCTTTTTTCTACTATAAAATATTTATATATTTTATCTTAAATTTCTGATATTTTTCTAAATACTAAAAAACTTTTTCAATATTTTTTCTAATTAATATTAATCTATAAAATAAAAATAATTTTAAATTAATTTTTAATAATAAAAGATTTAAAAACTATTAGTTTTATTAAATTATCTTATGAATTAATTTCTAATAATTTAGCTGTATTTTATTTTTGTAATTTTGCAAGTATAAATAATCATATTCAATATTTTAAAAAAATTTGTTTTAATATTTTTTTATTATAATTTAAATATATTTATTATAACTATTATGTAATATTATATTTTAATAAAAGTATCTATACTATTAGTTAAAGATAATTTTTTATATATAGTTTAAGGATTTTAAAAAATAATTAATTATAAAATTTTTTATTAAATTTCTATTTTATTTAAAATAAAATACTTTACAGTATAAGTTAATAGAATTAATAATTTATCTATCTGATATATAATTTTATATTTATTATATGATCACTATATTAAATTTATTTTAGTTAATATATTAATCTATTCAGCATATAATTTTATCAATTAGACTTTTTCTTTCTTGTTGTATTAATTATTATATTTTAAAGTTTAATACATAACAATATCTATTAGTTTAATATTAAAATTAATTTAAAATTTTGAATACTAATATACAGGTGTTAATAAATTTATTTAACCTAAATAGCTAATTTACTATTATTGATATTATATTGTATTCTTTTATTTTAATTTTAAAAAAAATTAAAATTTTTAAATTGATTTAAATTTAATAAAAATAATCTATAAATATAATTTAATTATAATATATTTTATATAAAGAATATGATTTTAAGGATATTTAAAAATAAAGTTCTGAAAAAAGTATAATAAAGAAAAAGATAATTACTTACTTCTTTAATACTAGTATATTATTATATTGTAATTTTTAGAAATAATAATATAAAAAAAAAAATAATATAATGAATATAAAAATTTTTAAATGAATAAAAATTAATTTGTGAAATAAATTCTCTTAATGATAAATAGTAAAAACATATTAAAGCTATTTAACTTAAAAATATTTTATATTATAAAATATAGATTTTGATGATTGTAGTATTAAATTAATTAAAAATTAGAAGAAAAAAGAAAATAATAAAAAAGTAGATAAAAAAATTAATGAAAAGTTTTTTTTTGAATAAAAATCTTAATTAAATAGATAAAATGTTAATAAATAATTTGTATAATAAACTGCTAATATTTATAAATCTAATGAATTAAAAGCTAAAGATATCTCTAAAATAATAATATTACAAAATTAGATTTCAGCTTATATATAAATATTTAAAGAATAAACTATAAAAAATATAGTAATAATACTTCATAATATATAACAAGCAAAATTTTTATAAACAGTAAATATTTATAATTAAAATAATATTCAATATATAAAAAATAAAAAAAATAGCTAAATAAAATTAAATAAAAGTTTAAATCTAAATAAAACTAAAATAAATTCATTTTTAATTAAAATTGTTTGATTAAATTGGAATTAACTGAAATCTATAGTTTGAATTTTATGTTTCTTTATAGTAAAATTAAAAATATAAAATTTTGATAACTTCAAACTTTATAAATAATTTAGTTAAAATTAATACTATTAATTACTATATTTAAAATTTATATATTATATTATGTGATGAGATAACAATCTGATAATAAATGAGTTTTTAGTCATTTTTAGATATGATCTATATAAACTGGTATTATTAAATTTTATTTGTTGAATAGTGATCTGTCTCTTAAAAGAATTCTTAAACATTTTGTTTAATTTTTTCAGTTTATAAAAATTGTATATTAATAATATATATATTAAAACTATTAAAAAAATAATTTATAAAGAAAATATTTATTATTAATAATATAGTTTAAAGGAAAAATAAAATAAAATTAAAGGTTATAAAAAAGTTTAATTAATTAAATTCTAATAAGTTTATATATAATAAAATTATTAATTTTAGATTAAAATTAAAAAAATTATTTATTAAAATTATTTTTATAATATTAAGAGTATAGAAAATCTATTATCAATTAAAAATTTATATTTTATAAAATTAATTATTAAAATTTTATTATTATATAAAATAATTTGAAAATTTTTATGTATTTTGATTTTTGATTTTATTAGATTAAAATGTATCGGTATTAAGATTATGATTTAGTCAAAAATTAATAATTAAGATTCAAAGCAATATTTTATTCAATTTAATAATTCTTGAAGCAGATTAAAAGTAATTAGTAAATTAAAATATTTATTAAAAAAAAATAATAATTTTATAATATCCATTAAGCTAAATAAAACATTTATTGTTTTTTAAAAAAAAATGTTAAACTGAAACAATTGATAAATTTTTCAAATCAAACCAAAACATTCTTTTAACGTTAGTAAAAAAAAATTTAAGTAAAAAAATTCGTAGATTAAATGTAAATTACGCCAATGATTATTCAACTAATACTAATATAATCATTTCGAGCACAAATTAAATAAATTTAATTAATAATAATTAATCAAAAAATACATCATTATTTCAAATAGACAGGAAATTGTCGTAAAGAAAAGAAACGAAATTATTTTCTAATTTCAACAAATATTAATTAATTTATGAATAAATTAAAAAACTAAGAATAAACAAAAAAAAAAAAAAATTCGGGTTAATCAATCTTATTTTAATAACTACCTTCCTTCCGGATAACTTTTTACAACAATACACAACAAAAAGACGGACCACTTTCGGGCTTACTAGTCGAAAGAGCGGCTCTTGTAGCATATTCAAAAACTTCATTAACGCCATCATTAAATTTAGCAGAACATTCTAAATATCTAGCACCAATTTTCTCGGCAACACTTCTCCCTTCTTCAGAAGTTACAAGTTTTTGATTCTGTTCACCATTTCGTAAATCTTTTTTATTTCCAACCAAAATAATTGGTAAATTTGGACAAAATGATTTCACTTCTGGATACCATTTTTCTTCCACATTTTCCAAAGAATCATGAGAATCAATGGAAAAACAAATCAAAACTACATGAGCATCAGGATAAGAAAGTGGCCTCAAGCGATCATAATCTTCTTGACCAGCTGTATCCCATAATGCTAATTCAACATTTTTTCCATCTACTGGTACTATCGCAACATAATTTTCAAATACTGTTGGAACATAAATTTCTGGAAATGTACCCTTTGAAAATACAATCAAAAGGCATGTTTTTCCACATGCACCATCACCAACTATTACAAGTTTTCGACGTAAGTCAGACATTATGTAATGGACAAAAAATTTTTTTTTAATACAAAAAAATTCGTAGAAAAATTTTCAAAAAGGGCGGGGAGGAGAGAATTTTTTTTTTTTTTAAATTTAGCCACAAACCTGCCTACAGTTTAATACATTCGTTAAGGAGTACAAGGTACTCCAATAATAATAAAATTAAATCGACCAATCAGCATAATTTATCCCGGAGTTTTAAAAAAATTTTAAGAACATTTGCAAAAGAACCATAATATACTAATTTTTTAAATCCAAATAACTAAAACGTTAGAATTTTCATTTATTTGGAAAAAGCAGACTTGCTTTAATAGAAATAATTATCAACGATTTTTATTTGTGTAACCGGATCTTTAATTCCTATTGAAATTTCGTGTTACTTTATTTTTATTGATGATGATCAAAGTTGCAGTTTGATCAATTAATATAATCGTTTTCATTTATTATTTAAATCCATTCGATAATCTAAAAGCTTTGAAACCTTTGTAATTCAGTTAATCAGTTAAAAAAAACCATGGTGACCGTCACTATATCACGTGACTATTACCAAATTTGGGGCTAATTTATCCTAGACTCCGGGTTTAGGTTATTTTATCCTATACCCGATGTATATATAAATAAATTTTTTTAAAGTATATATCACGTTATATATACAGTTGCAGTCTACCTCAAAGTTGGGAAACAGCTAGAAAAAATAAAAAATGAGTTGGCATATAAAAATAAAATTAATTTTTTCCGGCAGTTTCTCCCTTTTCTATTGTAAAGGTCCCATATGATGATCATATTTTAAATTTTTTTATTTTTTGATGTATCAATATGTCTTTATACTTATAAAGAAAGATTTTTTTTTATTAGAAATCATTTTAATATAATTTATTATATATTATACAATTTTCATATACTAATAAAAGACAAGTTATATTATACTATTGTTATAAAAAATTCGGCAAAATTTTATATCTAAATATCTGTCAAAAAATGTTTGTTATTTAATAACTACCACTAAAAAATTATTATGTTATTATAATTTTCAAGTTTAATGGATTTAAAAATAATTAATGGATTTAAAGTGGTTATTTTTTTAAATTTGATTTGAAAAAATTTTTTGATCTTCTGAATATTACATTGGATGATCAGAATAAAGAATTTTAAAACCTCTTGAAATATGTGATTTTTGTTAAAATTTACATATAAACTCTATGTAAACTCTAATCTGAGTTATATAAAAGGATTTTGAAGTCCTATTATAATAGTTATTTGAACGCTTTACTTATTAATTAAGCATTATTAATCATTAAACCAATATTTAAAGTGTTAGAAATTTTAAAATTATATTAGATTTCTCATATATTGATTATATAACAATAATAAATCATCAGATCTCTTTTATATTTAGTACAATTATAATTAAAAGAAATTATTCAAGAATTAATTATAAAATAGCTTAATTATTTGTATTTAAAAATCCTGATACCAAATTTCAATAATTTATTATTTTAATAATAAATTATATTAGAATCAATTTGTTAGATAAGATAATTACAAATCATACAACTAATAGTTATATAATAAATTATATAACATTAGAATTAGAATTAATACATATACTCAAGTTTTTTTGTTAAAATTATTATATAGAATTTTGAATATTAGAATTACGTTATAGATCTATTATATTAGTTAATATAATTATTTTCTAAAGTTAGTATATTATTTTTAGGATAATCTTTAATTAGATTATAAAGATAACTTTTTGAAAGACTAACTTGATAGATCATATATTTTTATTATAACTTTAATAAAAGATATTAATTCAAATGATATAATGAAACTTGGAAATTTACAGACTTAATAATAGATTATAAATATTATATAGTATTATTAAATAATAGAGAATTTTTGTATACTTACATAATTATTATTAATTAAATTATTATATATCCCTTAAACTATAGAGGTTTGCAGGCAAATTTGCCTGCTTATTTACTATAAATTCTCTTCTGATTTACTTTTATAAAAAATTAAAATTTTTAAAAAATTATTTTTTTAAATTAATTTTATAAATATATATAATATTATAACAAATTTTAGTTTTTAATTATATAATAAATAATTTAAGGTTATTTATAAGCTAAAAATTTGTAATTTTTAAAAAAATTATAAATTAA